ATAGATAGATAGATAGATAGATAGATAGATAGATAGATAGATAGATAGATAGATAGACAGACAGACAGGTTTTAGAGTAGACTACACTAGAGATTAAAGTTTAAGCTGTTTAAATAGGCTCACAAATTATAACTGCCCCCTCCTCTATGTGTTGTTCACATTATCTTCATGTGGAAATGTTTAAGAAATACAAAACACATGCTCTCCAACCTCACCTGCTAGTGATTTCTCTGAACGGCTGAGTTTCAAGAGTTGGTCATCTGAGAAGTTCATGTAGATGTCATCCAGGGGATCATCCAAGAAAGGGGGCTTTTTCAGTCTCCCGATGCCAATGGTCTTTGACATATAATAGTCTGCTACATCACTGAAAGCCTCCTCCTCTGAGAACTGGAGGCCTTTCATGGTCTCTACTTCGACGAGCAGAGCTTCTGGATTGTAGTGCCCAGCCAAGGCTTTGGTGAGATAGAAACCCAGGGGAGATGCGCACCCCTCCTCCTCAGGCTTGTTTGCATAATCTGGCTGGGTTCTCTGGTCCCTGGCTTTGGACTCATCCAGTAACTCACAGAGGGTAGATGGGCAAAGCTGTGGAGGCTCGAGCGCTATTTCAATATCTTGGTTTTGTGCTTTAGAAGAAAGGGCAAGACGGATGCGTTTCTGTTGGGATACACACTCATCCAGAAGACATTTCAGCCGCTCCTCAGAAAGACGTAATGTGGAGTTTAACTGAAGAAACAAACCAAAAGTTTTCATAGTCAGTTGGTTGATAAAACATGTTTATTCTGGGCGAACTTCCAGGGATATAGCACAAGTTCAAGGGTCAGGAAAACCCTTACCCAGTACAAACAGGAAAGTGCATTGCTTTGAAGTACCCAAAGCTGTAGGGGGCCAACTAGTAACCTATAGGATAAATTTAGAAGCAATCGTACACACTAATCTGGAGAAGAGAATCATATAATATTGATAAAAAAAAATATCCAAATTAGCCACTGGCACAGAGAAAAGACAAGAGCTGAAAATGAAGTGTCTTCTGCTGGGTCACAGGGAAGGAACGCTACCATCATTTCCAGCCTGATTCCTCTGCCTCTACCCAGTCCCCAGTGTGAGCCAGTCTGAAACCGAGGTGGGGGATGGGAGGCATGCCAATGATGCCTGCCCCCCGGGGAATCACTACAGGCGTGTCTGCCCACAGCTTTCAGTGGACAAGACTGGCGAGGATAGAAAAGAAAGGGTGAAGGTGTAGCCCATCCTGAGATGTGTAGTTGCTTCAAAATGACAGGCCGAGGCAGAGGCCAGGGGCATTCCAAGAACAGCGTATTCAGGTAGAAAGATTTCATCACACAGACTCAGTCTCCACTTATAAAGATCACCCAGGGCTGAGGGTTCTAAACAAGACGCGAGTTCAAAAACATTTTTTCCTTACAGCAGTATGCCACCACACCTGGCTTGTGCAGCACCTGGGGCTGAACCCGGGACTCTGCATCCCAGGCAAGCCTTCTACTAACTGAGCTACAGAGTCACTGTATGTGTTCAGTTGTCTAAAACCAGATGCAATTAACATCCCAAACCCACGTTCTTCTTCCAGTGATGTTCTGAGGAAACACAAAAATGAACCAAGCACAGGACTCTCTTGCGCAGGAATTCAGGAGAACCACAGCAAATTATAACCAGTTCAAAAAAGAACAGTTGCCAAATGCATTAAAACACATTGAAAAGGTGCCTTCCTCTCAAAATAAATTTTTAATAAAATAAAAACCCAATGGCACCTGCCACTGTGAGTTTGAGGAGAGTAAGAAACTTGTCTAGAATTTTTTTTTTCTTAGTGATAATCTGGAAAACAATTCAGATAGCTTAACCTGAAGCTAATATGCATGTGAACAAGTAGGAGTTGAATTGCATGGCAGCAAATCCTACTTTATAAAAATGATTTCTTTATTTTTATTTTATGTGAATTGGTGTCTTGCCTGCATGTATGTTTGTGTGAGGGTTTCAAAACATTGGCGGCTGAATTACAGACAGTTGTGAGCTGCCATGTGGGTGCTGGGAATTGAACTCAGGTCCTCTGGAAGAACAGTCAGTGCTCTTAACCACTGGAGATTGTGAGCCATCTCCACAATCCTACCTTTAATAAATAACTTCCAGAACCTAGATGTGGTACTGCTCCCATTTTCAGAGCATTTCCTTCACCTTGCTACATAAATCTAGGAAGCGAATGCAACTCTCGTGCAGCAGTTGGCACTTATAATATACCTTCTGATTACACTTATATATAATTATTTACAATGAGGCGAGCAACAGCTGGGACTTAGAAAGAAGACACTGTATGATACTTACCAAACATTTGTCCTTATGAAAGTCTCAGACAACAAAACAATTAGCCCCAGTTGGTCCAGGAGAATAAAGGATTGTGGAAGTCAGGTCTCTTGGGTAACAGATAGGAGGGCAAAATGGTAAGTAATCTGCAATGTTTGGCTGCTTCCAAAAGTAATACTGATAGGTTAGAAGCTTGGAAACCCTGACAGTGTGTTTGGCTAGATATCCAGAAGAATGAAGCAATTATGAACACTGAGAGGAAAGCAAAATGTTTTGTAAAAAAACGAAGGGCACCGAATCAAATACACACAGAGGAGGTGAGAATGAAAGCTAAGCAAAAGAAAAATATATTTTACCTTTAGGACAAGCAAAAACCTTGGGAATGGAGAACTGAAGATGCTGTCTCATCTGACTTCTCTGAAATGCTCTTTTTAATAAACAACCATTTTTTAAAAAGCGATAAAGGTGCAGCTCTTTGGCAGAGAGCATACTTCCTGTGTGAGGCTCTAGCTTCAATCCTTAGTACCACCAACATGGCAAGAAAAACACAAACAAAACGCCTTCTGATTGACACTGGGGAGCTGCCCGGCTATGAGCACAAAAACAACTTTTAAAATAGAGCTTGTATTTCTTTAGCCTCTCCACAATACTAGTGGCTCTGGAAACATCATCAGCAAAAGTGACTCAAATACAGTAATCTTGAAAATCTTTAAGTTAGTTCAGTAACAGTGTTTCCGGGTGGCAGTGCAGATTGGAAAATGCCACGTGACCCACTTTTCTCATCTTCTGGTTCCTAGCAGAGCCTTGCCCACATACAAATGGCTATGGTGGAAATCAAATGAGTGAAGGGTGCCCCGGAGAGTCCTTCGTCGCATAAGCCACTCGCGGATGCTGGGCTGCACTATCTTCTGGCGCTACAGGGCCATCCTCGACCACTCTCGGTAGTAAAGCATGATGGCCGAGGCTTCATCCAGATAGCTTGTGATGGCCCTGAGCTGGTGAGCCACTCAGTGTGAGTGGCCAAGAAGCCATCTGTTCAAGCACTCAACTCCAAGAATTCACCTACATGTCATGTCAGCTGATTCCCTCACTTTCCTAAGTGTGTTAGTCTTATCATCCCTGCCCTTTTATGGGATGATAAACAGAAAATGTAACATAGTGCATTCCTGGGATTCATTTTGTTGCAGCAGAGAGCTAAGGCCCCTCCTCCCATCTTCATTCAGACACCCTTGTTGAGTCTTCTTTCGTTTTATTTCTTAAGGTCTTATACAGCTACATACCATACGTTGAGGATATTTCCCACGTGACTCTTGTCTCCTTCCCATTACCCGCTTTGTTCCTCTACGCTGCTTCATTTCTACTTCATACTTTCATGTACATGGTTTTACATCTATGTAGAAAGCAGGAGTCACGAGTGAGAGAAAAGCAGCCAATTATTTGTCTTTCTGAGCCTGGCTTCATTCACTTCATATGATTCTCTACAGCTGCATCCGTTTTCCTGTAAACAACACAGCTTCGTGCTTTATGGCTGAGAACAGCTCCTTACCCACTCCCCCTAGGCTGCTTCCGTAATTTTGCTGCTGTGAGCAATAGCATCCTAAGCATGGTGGTGTGAGTGTCTCTGTACTACATTAACTTGGGCTCCTCTGGTAAGTACGCAGGAATGATGTGGCTGAGTCAAATGGGATATACAGATATCCCACAAGAAATCTCCATGCTGACTCTCACGGTGGCCACACCCATTCTCATCTCCATCAGCTGCGCATAAGGCTCTCTTATGTCTATGTCCACCAGCATTTACGATTGTTTCTTTTCTTTCCAATATTTGTTTATTTTTGGTTTTTCAAGATAAGGTTTCTCTGTGTTATGGCCCTGATGTCCTAGAATCACTTTGCAGACCAAGCTGGCCTCAAACTCACAGAGAGCCAACTGCCTCTGCATCCTGAGGGCTGGGATTAAAAGCATGCGTCACCATGCTTGTCTACTGTTTATTTTCTTAATGCCTGCTGTTCTGATGCAGTGAGATGGACTCTTGGTGTAGTCTTGATTTGTATTCCTCTGAAGTTGTACTGCTAGTGAGGTAAGAACATTTGCTCATGTTTATTAGCTATCTGTATTTCATCTTCCGTTTACTTCCTTAGCTTTATCTTTTGGCTGGATTGTTTGATTAGCTTCTGGAGTTCTTTGTGTGTTCTAGACATTAGTGCTCTGTCAAATGTGTAGCTAATAAAGAGCCCTTCCCCTCCTGTGGCTGCCTCCCCACTCAACGTTTTCCTTTGCTACACAGAAGCTTTTCCTTTCCATGGGTCCCACTTGTTAATTAATGAATAACTAGGGTCCCGGTGAAAAGCACTTGCCTATGCCAATATCATGAACTATTTTCCCTGCTGTTTTCCTCTAGCCATTTCAGAGTTTGGAGGCTTTTGATTCTTTTAGAAGGCATTTGATTCTTTTAGTGTTGAATTTTGTGGGAGCCAGGAAATACGACTGTACTTTTTATTCTTCTAAATGTGGCTATCCAATCTAGTCTTGTTCCCCAGTTAGTGTACTGTTGGCTATAGATTTGTCATGGATAGCCTTTATTATTTTGAGATACACACCTTCTATTTCTTGTCTCTCCAGGACTTCTGTCGTGAAGGAATGTTGGATTTTGTCAAAAAGCCTTTCTGCATCTATCGGGATGATCATGTGATTTACTTCAGAAGATCTCTGTGGCGTATTCCGTTTACTGATTGGCATATGTTGGACCAGCCCTGTGTCTCTGGGGTGAAAGCAGCATGACTGTGGTGAATGGGACTTGTGGTGTGTTCTTGAAATTGGTTTGCTAGTATCTGAGCAGCCATTTTTGCATCTGTGCTCATCAGAAAAATTGACCTACACTTTTTATTGTCTCTTTTATTGTGTCTTTGACTGCTTTTGGTTTCCAGGTGATGATGACTTCGTAGGCAGAGATTGATGGCATTCTGTATTTCATTCTTTTATGGAGTAGTTTGAGAATACAACGTTAGTGCATCCTTAACAGTCTGGGAGGAGTCAGCAGTGGATATTCCTAGGCATTGGCTCTGTCTAGGTGGGAGAGTCTATATTACGGTTCCAATCTCATTGCTTGTTAAAGGTCTGATGTTATTTACCTCATCTTTTGGATTTGACCATTTAGTACTCTGTAAGTTTTTAACTACATCCTGATAGTTTTTGTTTTGTTTTGTTTTGTTTTTTAATTTTACTGGTATATGTTGTACTCTGTCTTTTAATCTCTAGTTTTATTGATTTGGTTCTATCTCTCCCTTCCTCTCCCCCCCTTCTTCCTCTTTCATTTTGGTTAACAGTTTGTTGATCTTGTTATCTTTCTGAGAACCAATTCTTCATTTTACTGCTTGATGATTTTTTCATTTACTAGTCCATCAGTTTCCACC